TGGCCTCCCTCCCTGTACCCACTCTTAGGCTTCCATTCAGTTTACCACTAAACAGCCAGAATAACTGTTTTGTTTTGTTTGTTTCAGAGAGAGAGGGGAGGGGGAAAGGCAGAGGGAGAGTGAGAATCTTAAGCAGGATCCATGCCCAAGAGGAGCCTGACATGGGGCTCAGCTCAATCTCACAACCCTGAGATCATGTCCTGAGCCGAATTCAAGAGTCAGATGCTTAACCAAAAGAGCCACCCAGGTGCCCTCAGAGAAACTGTTTTAAAACATAAATACAAATATATCATTCCCTAGCTCCAATCTCCAATGGCTTCCTACCACATTCAGAATCAAACCCAAACTCCTTACTACGGTTTGCAAGGCCTGACATCATCTAACCCCTGCCTATCTCTCTGATACACTGCCTACAACTTCCCCTTACTCATTATTCTGTCTAGCCGAACTGGCCTTGTTACTATTCGTGGACTGCATTAGGCCAGCTCCAAACTCAGTACCTTTACACTTCATAGGTCCTCTGCAGGAATATACTCACCCCTCCCCCGACCCCCACCACAGAGGCATGGCTCATTCCCTCAGGTCTTTAAAGTTTCTCAAATAGGCCTTCCCTAATCTCCATCTAAATTAGCTATCCTTGATGCTCTTTTAGCCCCTTACCCTGACTTTCACAGGCATAAACAAATACAGGACGCTGTCCCTTCAACAGAAAACCCAGTACAGGACTTGGCTTTGCTTGTTCATCTCCATCCCCAGAATTTAACAGTGTTTCTCAACAGAAGCACTACTGACAATTTGAAAAGCATGGTTCTTTGTTGTTTAGGAGTTTCCTGCATATTGGATGATGTGTGTTTCCCTGGACCCAGCTCATTAAATACCAGTAGAACCTCTCAAGTATTGTGACAAACTATTCATTCGTATGTCTGTACATAATTATGTGTACATCTGCAGTATTTCTCAAAAATGGAACTGTTGGATCAAAATATGTGTACATTTTGAGACAGACACTGCAAAACAAATATGAAACTTAAATACGTAAACACAAATATACTTAGATGATTTTTTTTTTGGTTGACTTTTGTTTTTGACATATCAACCTACACAGAATATTCCAAAGAAAAAGTACATTAAATTCTAAATGAAATAAATCAGGCTGAGAAAAACAAAGACCATATGATTTCACTTCTGTGTGGAATCCAACACAAAGCAATGGAATAAATAAACAAACATACAAAAAGCAGAATCATACCTATAAAAACAAAGAACACACTTACAGCTGCCAGAGGGGAACATACAGATGGTTGTGGGGGGCTCCCAAAATGGGTGCAAGGAAGTAGGAGGTATATGCTTCTAGTTATTGAATAAGTCATAGAAACAAGAGATACAGCATAGGGAACAGTCGTCATAGAAACAAGAGATACAGCATAGGGAACAGTCAAGATTATGGTAAAGATTATGGTAGCTACACTTGTGGTGAGCATAGACTTATAAACTTGTTGAATCACTACGTTGTACACTTGAAACTAATACAACATTGTGTGTTAACTACACTCAAAAAAAGGACATTAAATTCATATATAAACTTAAAAAGCACATTCTCTTTTTCTCTATTTCCCAGCCAAGAACATGATACATCTTTTTATTTAACAAGGTCTTTGTTTCTGACTCCTGAAAAGACCAAGTCACCTTTTTGAAGTAATGAGATATATAAAAGCAAAATTCATATCCATATTTCAGTGTAATTTGGTTGATGCACTTCTTGGCCTCTAATCTGAAGTTTTATTTCCTTATATATGCAATTGCACAATTACCTTGTATAATTCAATTATAGGCCCATGATTTTTTAAAAAATATTTTATTTATTTGAGAAAGCAAGCATGAACAGTGTGGAGGATCAGAGGAAGAGAGAGAAGCAGACTCCCTGCTGAGCAGGGAGCCCAATGCGGGGGGTTGATCCCAGGACCCTGGGATCATGACCCGAGCTGAAGGCAGCCGGTTTAACCAACTGAGCCACCCAGGCCCCCCTACAGGCTCATGATTATCAGATTTGTTCAGACACTCAAAAATCACTTATTTCAGTGTGAACAGAATTTGTACTCCACTTCAACAATCCTTTCTGTATGTCAACAATTATTCATTAGTTGTCAACATGTCAACAATTGATCATCAAATAACATTTATATCACCTAGACATCTAAGAACATTTTCTCTTTGGTAATGCCTGTACATTTAGTATAACATATTCTATGCTGTATTATTGACTAAATTTTCTGTGATATACATTTCATCCCTGTGACTTATTTATCTTACAACTGGAACTCTGTATCTCTTAATCCCCTCTACCTATTTTACCCAACTCTCTACATCCCACCCCCTCTGACAACCACCAGTTTGTTCTCTGCGTTTATAAGTCTGCTTCTGTTTTGTTTGTTCATTTGTTTTGTAGATTCCACATATAAGTGAAATCATATACTATCTGTCCTTGTCTTGTTTCACTTAGCATAATATCCTCTAGGTCCATCCATGTTGTTGCAAATGGCCACATTTCATTCTCTTTTATGTTGGAGTAATATCCTATTATATCTGGTATATATATATACAGACCACATTTTCTTTATCCATTCATCTACTGATGGACACTTAGGTTACTTGGAATAGAGAAACATTTCATGATATAGTCTGCAGGTATCATCTCCACCCATCCCAGATACATACTTAAGAGACCTTGGAAATTTACTGAGTAGCAGGGAAACAATTATTTTCTTAGCTTCTACCACTAATTTGTGTCCTCATAGATGACACTAAATTAATCTGAGGCTCTGGCAGGTAACACTGAACTCTTCTGATTCATGAATTTAGACCACCCATCTAACAGAAGAGGACAATCTATTTCTCCTGTATATTTTTCTGGCAGCTTTAGAATAACTGCCGCTTCTTTGAATGAGCACTAGGTAAGATAGCTGATTTGGATCTAGGAGTGATGCTGTACATACAGTAAGTCTTTAGCCACTAGAAACTAAGTACAGTGAGACTATCACACTATGAGGGAGAAGCAGAACTAAAGACTACAAGAACAGCAAGCAGACTCAATTTCTCATCTCAAACTTATTCTGGCCACATTATAAATTTAGTTACCTGCACTATTCAAAAGTTACTTCTCTTTTATTTGCCAAGCACATATAGCTGAATCAATGGACATTAAACATGAATGTGCTTTGGTTCCACTGTACTCAAGTCTTTGCATTAGGTTCTAAAATAGTTTTATCTTTTATACACAATAGCTTGACTTGAATTTTTTTTTTTTAATTTTATTTATTTATTTGACAGAGAGATAGAGATCACAAGTAGGCAGAGAGGCAGGCAGAGAGAGAGAGGGAAGCAGGCTCCCCACTGAGCAGGGAGCCCAATGCGGGACTCGATCCCAGGACCCTGACATCACGACCTGAGCCAAAGGCAGAGGCTTAACCCACTGAGCCACCCAGGCGCCCCGAATTCTTTTTTCTTAAAAAAAAATTTCATTTATTTATTTGAGAGAGAGAAAGAGCAGGGGGAGGAGCAAAGGGAGAGGGAAAGAGAGAATTCCAAGCAGGGCTCCAGAGTGCAGCCCGACATAAGGTTCGACCTCACAATGCTGAGATCATGACCTGGGTTGAAATCAACAGTTGGGGGGCGCCTGGGTGGCTCAGAGGGTTAAAGCCTCTGCCTTCGGCTCGGGTCATGATCCCAGGGTCCTGGGATCGAGCCCCACATCGGGCTCTCTGCTCAGCAGGGAGCCTGCTTCCCTTCCTCTCTCTGCCTGCCTCTCTGCCTGCCTGTGATCTCTGTCTGTCAAATAAATAAATAAAATCTTAAAAAAAAAAAAAAATCAACAGTTGGATGCTTAACAAATGGAGCCACCCAGGTGCCCCTACTTTATTTTAATTCTAATCATTTTTTCTCATCATTCAATTTTCCAAATATATTTAAGTAAATTGTAAGTTTCCATTAACTTCATTAACTTTAATCATTTTTTCCTTTAATGAACAATGATTAACTGCTTACTATGTGCAACAATATAAAAAATTATTCCTATGGGGCACCTGGGTGGCTCAGTGGGTTAAAGCCTCTGCCTTCGGCTCAGGTCATGATCCCAGGGTCCTGGGATCGAGCCCCGCATAGGGCTCTCTGCTCAGCAGGGAGCCTGCTTCCTCCTCTCTCTCTGCCTGCCTCTCTGCCTACTTGTAATCTCTGTCTGTCAAATAAATAAATAAACAAAATCTGAAAAAAAAAAATTATTCCTATGATAAGCTAAGTGCCTGTTTATTTAGCATCGGGCGTTAATCTAAAAGTAAAGGGTGTTAATCTAAAAGTAAGTCGTAGGGGCGCCTGGGTGGCTCAATGGGTTAAAGCCTCTGCCTTCGGCTCGGGTCGTGATCCCAGAGTCCTGGGATCGAGCCCCGCGTCCAGCTCTCTGCTTGGCAGGGAGCCTGCTTCCTCCTCTCTCTGTGCCTGCCTCTCTGCCTACTTGTGATCTCTGTCAAATAAATAAATAAATTTAAAAAAAAAATTTGTTCTAGAGATTGCCATGACATTTAGTATCCTTTTTAAAATAAATAAATAAATAAATAAATAAATAAATAAATAAAAGTAAATCATAGTCCAGCAACTTATGGTTTTATAATTAAGATCGGCTAATTCAAACCCTGTTTAGGGTGAATAGCCATTTATGTCATTTATACACAGCCTATACACTATCTTCAAGAGGAAAGGTTGGTAAGCATTTAACTTATTTGCAAAGCTGGGTTAATACAGCTTTCTATATGTCTACTACATACAGAAGCTACAAGAAGGAATAGATCTTTCTTCTATAAATGCATTTCTTTAACACTTTAATACTGGAAGTATTGAAGTTTACAAATTCTGCCAGTGCTCTCATTTTAATTTCTTCTACTAAAGAAAGGAAAGCAAATTTCTAAAAAAAGACAATATGATCGTTCCAACGTATCCAGTTTAATTTTTACCTCTATACTGAAATAGCCTCTGTCCACATAATCACCCAGAAAGAGGTAGCGTGTGTTACTAGGTGATCCTCCAACTTCAAACAACTTCATCAGGTCAAAGAATTGTCCATGAATGTCACCACACACTAGGGAAAAAAGGACACAAAGTGAGATGAAAAATTATTTCTTATAAGAGAAATGGCAATAAACCAGTAAGATCACAGTTTAGCTTTTAAATCACAGAAGCTTTTGACTAGAATGTTCTATAATTGTGGTCAATCTATCAATACTGAATAGTCCTACTGAAAATATTAGGTATTTTAAATTTTATTTCTTTGATGAATAACAAACCTACTGAATAATCCTAAGACTATCTCATAATTCCTAGAAATATTATCACATACCTTAGTTGGTTATTTGTAATCATTTTTCAAATTAGCTCAAATCTAAGTAACACCATGCAATTACTTCTCATACCCGTGATTGGAGCCTCTACTTCTATCATGGTCTTCTCTTGTCTCAGGATGGCAGCCCCATCATTGATTATCTTTAAGGCTACTTCCTCTTCCAGTCGCCCTTCCTTCACCAAATGGTTTTTCAAAATATCAATTTTAGGTTTCCCATTCTCAAATACTTCCTTCAAAGTAAGCCGTTGGGTTGGAGGAAAGGGAACAGCTAGGAGGAGAGAAAAAGTAATTTAAAATACTTAAATGTACAGAGAACCATGACCCCATTTCTTTATGCAACAAATTAAACCTAATACATCACTATGATCTCACATCCACAATACCAGAAGTATATGGGGAAAGAAATCTGAGATACTATCATAATATAGATGATAGGTTCTAATTTTTAAAAAGGCCACAGTTAAAGTCAAAGTTATTTAGGAAATGAATGCATATCTGTGTATGTATGAATTATGTTTTTACGTATAAACATGAAAGACTTGAAGATGATTCAGAAAATAAACTAAAAGACCAGGGACTAGATGATACGAGTATCTTTTCTCTATGGAAAATGTGTTAAAAATGAAACTGTGGTTAAAATGAGGGGAAAGAAATCACAGCACTGAAGGGCATTTATTTTTCCATAGAACTGACATAATGGAACCATGTTTTAGAAGTCTGACTTCAGCTCCTGATCAGGGGAATCATAGTTGTATACTTTATTATTAAAAGGTAGTTGACTAAAATATTACTGATAACAAGCACACTGCTAACTGAATAGAGCTGTTCCTGAGAATTACTTGCTACGGTAAAACAGTATAAAGTTGAAGAGAACAGATAAGGAAGGTCTAGTTGTGTTTTCTAATCTGTAAATGCTAAAAACTAACTTCAGTTTATTCTTGATATAAAGTCCATGTAATATCATGGTGAACTACCAACTTTAACAAAAAACTTTTTTGATGTTTTTAAAATTGGCCATCATCTCATTGTATGATGGAAGTCTACTTAAGATTATAATGTAGTCTACTTTAGATTATCTATGATCTAACATCTACAAGCCTATAAATTATGCATTTAAAAGATGAGCTCATTTTAATTTGTAATTTATGCCTGGTGGTTCTACTTCTAGCTTTATAGTGAGCGGCTCCTGGCTAGCTTAGTCAGAGGAGCAAGCAACTCTTGATCTTGGGTTCATGAGTTCAAGCACCATGTTGAGATTATTTAAATAAATAAATAAACTTTAAAGGTGGGGGGGGCACCAAAATGAACAAGACAGTAAACAACATGTGTTGGAAAGGCTGTGGAGAAAGGGCAACCCTCTTACACTGTTGATGGGAATGCAAGTTGGTGCAGCCACTTTGGAAAACAGCATGGAGAATCCTTAAGAAATTAAAAATAGAGCTACCCTATGACCCTGCAATTGCACTACTGGGTATTTACCCCAAAGATACAGATGGAGTGAAAAGAAGAGCCATCTGTACCCCAGTGCTCATAGCAGCAATGGCCACAGTTGCCAAAATGTGGAAAGAGCCAAGACGCCCTTCAACAGATGAATGGATAAAGAAGACATGGTCCATATATACAATGGAGTACTATGCCTCCATCAGAAAGGATGAATACCAACTTTTGTATCAACATGGATGGGACTGGAGGAGATTATGCTGAGTGAAATAAGTCAAGCAGAGAGAGTCAATTATCATATGGTTTCACTTACTTGTGGAACACAGGAATAATACAAAGAACATTAGAAGAAGGAAAGGAAAAGTGAATTGGGGGAAATCGGAGAGGAAGACAAACCATGAGAGACTGTGGACTCAGAAACAAACTGAGGGTTTTGGCGGGGGGGGGGTTCGATGAGCCTGGTGGTGGGTTTTATGGAGGGCACATATTGCATGGAGCACTGGGTGTGGTGCATAAACAATGAATCTTGGAACATTGAAAAAAAATAAAATTAAATTTTAAAAAATACAACCTAAAGAAAAGGGGGGCGGCACCTGGGTAGCTCAGCTGGTTAAGTGTCCAACTCTTGATTTCGGCTCAGGTCATGATCTCCGGGTTCTGAGATCTAGCCCCATGTTGGGCTCTGAGCTGGATGTGGAGCCTGCTTAGGATTCTTTCCCTCCCTCTCTCTCTCCCCACAGCCTGCACACACATGGTGTGTGCCTTCACTCTTACTCTCTCTCAAAAAAAAAGAAAAGAAAAAGAGAGAATCAAGCTGAAATCTACAGGCACTATAAAAATTTTAGACTTAAAAATCCTATGGTAAATTCACCATGCTCTTAGCTACAACTTGACTCATTTGGGTTATTCAAAGCTTACTGAAAAAATTATAGTACCGGGGCGCCTGGGTGGCTCAGTTGGTTAAGCAACTGCCTTCAGCTCATATCATGATCCTAGAGTCCCGGGATCAAGCCACACATGAGCTCCCTGCTCAGCAGGGATCCTGATTCTCCATCTCTTCCCATCTCTTCCCAGCTCAGTGCTCTCTTTCTCTCTCTCTCTCAAATAAATAAATATTTTTTTAAAAAAAGTGGAAAAAACTAAAAATATAAGTCTTAGAAAAGTTCTCTTTAAAGAAATTCACACAAGGTTAGGGTGCCTGGGTGGCTCAGTGGGTTAAGCCGCTGCCTTCGGCTCAGGTCATGATCTCAGGGTCCTGGGATCGAGTCCCACATCGGGCTCTCTGCTCAGCGGGGAGCCTGCTTCCCTCTCTCTCTCTGCCTGCCTCTCTGTCTGCTTGTGATCTCTCTCTGTCAAATAAATAAATAAAATCTTTAAAAAAAAAAAAAAGAAAGAAAGAAATTTACACAAGGTTCAATCAAGAGCCTATGTATGTGACTTCAGAGAACACCAAGTCCTCTGAAATCTTGATCCAGAAAAATAAATGGAAGGTTCCACATTTAATCATTCCCCTTTTCATACTTAATTTACCTCTTTTTGATTTTCAAGCTCTTACTCTCAATTTCTGGCTAACCAATCTGCCCTTCTCCATTTTGAAATGAACGCCACAGAGAGCCTGGTTGTTTTTATATCCACTATGTAAATAAAAGAAATTGGCCAACAAACTAAAAACAAAATGAAACGATATAAAATCAAATGTATTAGAGTTGACAAAAAAGGTATTATAATAGAGGTAGTTCCAGAGACAAGAGATCCACAGATATTGTTTGACTTCTCACAGCAATATTATCACTACTAATGAAAATAAATTCATTTCAATACTTAGTTGTAATCAGGTAACAGTTTACAAAATAGGAAAATCATTTTTTCTATATATCATAAAAGTTATGTAAGGAGAGGTGACAACAACCTAAAGAACTCTTGAGAAAGAAATTTAGAAAGGTATCTTTTCTTTCTCTCAAATTCTTCCATTGCGATTTACTTAAAACAAGTAAACAAGTCACTTAGTTAAATGAAAACAAAAGCAAGGCTGAAATGGATCAAGGGGATTATGCCCAGCTAAAAGAAATGGGACACAGCTGAGCCAGGAACACTAAGAGGAATTAAGATGGGCTTGAGACAACATGCTTAACAGAAAGTTCCAGAAGAGTCCTAAATTTTTAGCTAAGGACAAATAAAATCAATTTCCTTCAAATCAGAAGAAAAGAATCTTCAACCTTAAAGGAGTTACATACAAGTTACTCCTAGCTATGTTTAGAAGCCCTGAATTCCATCTTCCTTGTTGTATACACACTATAGTTGACATTGATTCATACAAGAGTGGGAACAGCCACCATCCTGAGAGGACTAAAGGAAATCTAGCTAAGTTTGGTCATGGAAGGAAATAGCAAGAGCTTTCCAATTAAACTTTAAACCTATATTTTTTAAAAAATATGCCCCAAGTACAGTGATCATATGTCTGAGCATGCCTATCTGGATATTCTCAAAATTATTTATCTTGTCCTAATATGATTTAATAGCATCCTCTTTTACTCTCCAGTATCCTGATTTAAATCACCTATCCAGAAACAATATTCTCCAGAATCAGCTGGGGTGTTTGTTTAGAATGTAGATTCTTGGGCCTCAGCCTGGTAGAATCAAAAACTTTTGGAGACTCAGCACAGTCCTCTCCTTTGTTAACAGGTGTCCCAGGCAACAGTTGTGCACACTAAAATTGGTTAGAGTGCAACAGGAAAATGGTTTAAGGGAATTCTAAGTAAAGACACAACTAATCTCGGGGCATCTGGGTGGCTCAGTTGGTTAAGCATCTGCCTTCAGCTCAGGTCATGATCTTAGGGTCTCAGGATCAAGCCCCGCATTGGGCTCCTTGCTCAGCAGGGAGTGTACATCTCTCTCTCCCTCTGCCTGCCACTACCTCTGCTTGCGCTCCCCCTCTTTCTCTATCAAATAAATAAATAAAATCTTAAAAATTAAAAAAAAAGATCCAACTAATCTCAAATAATCAGCACCTTCATTCCCAGTCATCACAAAGTAATAGTTTTCAGGTCTTTATGTCCTTTTCCCAGTCTCTACTGTGACCACATGGAAACAGGAGTTTGGGATTTCTGAATGAAAAAAAGAGGATCTAGAATAGTGCTTTGCAAACTACTTGTGGGAACTGCCCCAGTCCAACCTCTAACGTGTCAAAACCTGTACTTTGTAAAATGCAGTAAAAATAAATCACTAGAAAAATGATCACATGCTTAGATGCTGTGCCAATGTCAAACTGCTATTTAAGTTCTTAAATGCTCAATTTCTGTACTTATTAAAGCTAATAACAGGTTATAAACTGACACGGATCCATGGACCACACTTTGCGTGTAACACTGGTTTAGATAAACATGGAGTCAGGGGAACAAGAATAGGACTAGAATTAAAATCTGAATACTATGTATGTACACATCTTCAAGCCAGAGTTTATTTTATTTCATCTAATGTACACATAAGAGGATTTTCAGCTGACTTCACTATTCACTTCACAGTGAATAATCTTTCCTAAGAACCCAAGTCTGCATCACATTCATTTCCAACTGTTTTTAATGGCACACAGGATTTCACTAACAAGAAATACAACAAAACACTATATGCAGGCAAATGAACAAGCTGAAGTTTCAGCTTCTAACATCTTATACCTACTTTAAACTATGAAGTATATGAATTCTAACACAAGAGTTTCAGTTCCTGCATTCTTTCAAATTATAAACCAACTACTCAACACCAAGCACTGAAGTTTCTCTTCTTTGTTTCTGAGACTGTGTGTCACCTCTTTAAAAACTCCATTTATGGTCA